ACATTGCAATTGTAACATGATGCAATCAATTTTCTAAAATTAGCAATATAATATAATTCATAGTTGCCAACTTTTTAAATATGTTCAAGTGAGATTCAGGGTAACTGCTATCGACTGGACACCAGAATGCCTCCCTGGAAATCTGTTTACATTAGGCTCGTATCGTCTTTGTTATCATCGTAAGGGATTTTAAGTTTTGAAAATACTTATTTTACGAGCACATTATTGTTCACGAGCTCCTTTCACTCAAAAGGAAACTCTACCTAGTTCAACCAACTTATGTTTCTAACCGGGGACGGATTGAAGCAGCAATGATGGGGGGGGGGTGTTAGGTAATGATTGGGTTTTAGTGTCCCACCCTTAAGGTGACTGGAAAATGATGGAAACACTCATTTTAAAAACTAAGCTTTTAACTTTAAGATAAAGAGATAAATAGATTAAGTTTTTTTGCATCATTTGTTTAATGAAAATTTTTGCATCATACTGACCACAAAAAATATTTTTTTACCCAATCAAAACAAAATTTACCAAAGGACACACAAATATTAGGAGGTGTCTCACCCCTTATACCCTCCTGGAATCCGTCCCTGTTTGGATCATAGGCGTAGCAGAGCTAAAAGTTAGAGGGGCTTGGCACGGGTCTTGTTTCAATATTGTTATCGACCTTGGCAATAATTATCTTGTTTTTGTGACAAGTGAAAGTTGAGTCGGCCTTTTTAGTCCAGACGGGCCTCAGTGAAATAAAATTTGATTCTTGCATCTCCAGGGACGCCTAAGAAGGGGAACGCGGGGGGGGGGGGGGGGGGGGGGGGTTAAACGCACCTGTTTGACAGGAGGGGCAAGAGGGGCCAGAGTGCCTTTTTCATTCAAGTGTCCTCGAAACCGGAAAATTGTAATAATTAGAGAGATTCATATGAAATTCCAATTATAGTGCTTTATTCCATATTCCTCAATTCCATATTCCATTATAAATCCTTATTCAAAAGTTGGCAAATTTTCAAGATGCCTACAGAAGATTGAAATAAAAAGGCAGTTAGTACAAAATCAGTAGAAAATGCCCCTTGGTCGTTCCGGTGTCCCTGGGCATTTCCTTTGAAGCTTTTCAGCATTCAGTATCTTGTCCAGACTGATTCCAGTCGTGAACCCGGGTCGATCCAGGCATGTCGAATGTTTTTTCCTGTGTTCGGGCACCTTGCGTAATATGATGCTCGTGGATAGGGTATAGATAGCTTTTTCGTCATGTTGTGATTGTCACACGCTCGTTGTTCATGAGACTTCGGTCATGTGGGCTGGCTGAGCATCAAATGCGATGAAAGGTCAATACATAGCTTGAATCGAAACACTGTCGAACCGTGCTTTCGAAGAAGAAATTGCTAAATTTTGAAATTCGTTTCGAGGGTCATGAGAAACCCGCTCTATATTGGTGATTATTTTGGTCTCAAAGGTATGAGTAAACTTTCTATCTTTTTTTGATTATGCTAAGAATAATAACTTAGGAATTCGTTCAAAGTTTACTTTTTGTTATTGTAAAGTTTTGACTTTACCCAAAGCAAAATGACTTCATCATTGCGTTATGTAACTCTCTTTTCTTATAAAAAACGTTTTCAACAACTTGTAAGATTTGCTAAATAGTTTTTGCAGATTTTTAGCTCCGCTTAGTAAGGTTTGCAGTTTCTCCCATGGTTCTACACAATACCTGCCAAAAGTCTTGGAACACTGACGTCAATTTCCGGGGTCAAAATCAATCATCCCCCTCTCCCTTACAGAACAATGTTGGTTTACTTTCAAACGGGTTAGGATTTTAGGAAGCACTTTCTTTTGCGCTTCTTTTATGATATTTCTCTAAATTATCAACATTGTTCTAGGGGAAAGGGGGCGGAAGTAGTAATTTTTTTGGGAAATGAATGAAAGATATCAAATGCAACGCAAATTGCTGGGTGTCCCAAGTACTTTTGACAGGCATTGTAGATCTGAGGGAATAAAGTGGCCGAGTCCGCTCTCTTGATGCCAAAAAGTAACCATGTCTAGATTCCTATGGTTTTATGGCCGAATTTTTGAAATTTTCAACAAGTATTGTGCTTTTGGGGTACATGCCCACTGCTCTAGTCACGGCGCCCCTGCCCTCTTCTCTTGGTAGATCCAAGAGAGAAAAGAACATTTACAAAATACAACAAAAAGTGGGGTCGGTTTAAAAAGGAACCGATTCCCTTTTTCCTTCCCTTTACATAGGCGGGGGAATTTACTGGGGGCAAGGTAGTCGGGAATCGGATGAGGAAAGGGGGCTGACGACCTTGGATTTTCGTTTGGAATAAACTGGAAACTGCAACCTTTGGCATGGGCTCCGACAAAGGTTGAAAAGTGGGGGGGGGGGCACGGGAAAAATTTAACACCTATAACAAAAGATTTTGAAAAAAACTCTATCGTTTTGCAAAAAAGTGGGAGGGGGCCCTGTTTGGTTGGCGTCCGAACTTTTCAGCTTCTTGTGTGCTTCTTCGGGTGTGAATACGCGTCCGGGTTGACTCTGGCACGATTTTCGCAAATTGAAACCATTCTGTTTCTGAGAAGCCCACAGAGGCTTCCTCACTCCAAAAGGGGATCACCCTGAACTCGCACTGGTAACCCTTGGAATCCTCTCTAAGATGTAAAGGGCTTTTGTCTATTTGTGCTCTTTCCATGTTTGCATAAAAGAAACTTTTTACCATTCAATAAAACTAAATTAATAATGGCCTTTTTTCAGCCAGATCAATGTTGCTTTGAAGGGTTGAGGTCTTACACTGTTCTTTGCAAGACGTTCGGGGTTGACTGCCCCCTACTTCAAGGTGTTTATGACCCTGTTTTCAAATTTGAATGAATTTGAGTTAGATCATAAGGGAATTTCCTTACCTTCGCAGATAGTGTTGCATTTATGCTGATACAAAATTGAACATCAGGCAAGTTGCCATGGGAACATAAACTATAAATACGAGGCTGGCAAATAATGGTCAGGCTGGCAAATAATGATTATTTAATGGAAAAGGGTTTATTCCAAGTGTATGTTTAACTTTTTCATTGATTTGTTTAAAATCGGGAGTGCATGGTTTATAAAAGGCAAAACAATCCGAAAATAGAGCTCTGAAGTGTGATGTGATGACAATCTCAAATTTTAAAAATGTCGACTTTGACCGCAGCCTATTTAAAAACACCGTGAAACACATTAAACACTGAAAAACCAGTTTAAAATATGTTGATATTTGGATGTGGCCAATGAAAGATTTGAAGTTTGCTTACGAATCTCTGTTATTTTGGTTTCGTCATTAAAGTTATGAACAGAGACGATCTTACAGAGGTTTGATGGTGAAGGAGCCAGTGCAGATTAGGCCATTTCTCAGCTACTTCTGCGAAAACATGCAACTGATTTTTTTGATTTTTTCTAAAATATGCATACACTCATTTCTTTATAAGAAACAAAGGTCGATGTTGAGTACTCCAGTTTCTTAATGTTCTGGAGATTTCAATACTCATTGTTTCTTAAGAGTTTCTTAATTATGATGTCATGAATGATGTTATGAAATGTTCGTGACCTTTTTTATCACGTCAAGAGATTCGCTTCCCTTCCGATCCTGTATTTAGATGTGTTAAGTATATATTTATCCCTTGTGTCGTAAGTTCTAGGCCAACAGGGCAATCTTGTTATTTGATTTTACAAAATTTTGTTGTTCTCAGTTTTATCACGATCTAATAGTTTCTTAATTTGTTTGCTTCGAGTACTGAAGTTTTTTAATTCTTTCCGACTGTCCAGTACTCGTTTCTTATAGCCAGTTTATATAGAGACGGCCTTTAACGCTCTTTCAGGTTATGTGGTCCGAAATAAAAAAATCTTCAAACGATTTTGTGACTTCATCACCAGAAGCAAAGGTTTATCGGAAGCAGGGGTCTGGGGGCTGGATCCCCGCATGATAATTGCTAAACTGTGCTAAATTATTTTGTGCATACAATCACTGCCAAAATTACTTGGAACACCTAACATTTTGCGCTGTGCTTTTCTATTTTTCATTTGTTTTCTTGAATACTACCACTTCCGCCCCCCTTTCCCCCCAAAACAATGTTGAAAGTATAGAAAAATATCAAACAATCCACAAGAAAAAGCGCACTCCATAACCCCTCTCTTTTTTCTATAGTAAATCAACATTGTTCCTAGGGGGAGAGGGGATGGCTGAATTTGCCTTTGGAAACCTACGTCAGTGTTCCAAGACTTTTGGCAGTGATTGTACATAATAGTGTACCGGGTGGAAAGAATACAGTAGGCAGCCCCTCCCCCCCTCCTCCCCAATTCGTATTCATTCCAATGACACTGTACGCGTTTTTGAACGATTCTTGCAGACAAGCAGTATATTTGAATTTTAACGGTTTCCGGTTCTGTGTTATCAATAATACCCTGACAGTTTTATTCCGGTGAATGTAATTGATTTGTTTCTATGCATTCTCCGGACGTGTGTGTTTAGACAATGAAATACACTAAAGGCATCTTAATAACCTCCTTATGGTGCAGTCAATACTACCCCCGTGGGGCACATTAGCAATTCTCTGCTCTTTGTGTAAACATCAATATTTGTTATTATCTAGTACCTACAATTCCAGAAAAATGGTTGAGACATTCCCAGAAAGGTGTACGAGATTTTCTTGGAGTGATTTGCCCCTCGGAGAGCTTTGAAATAACTCATTCTCGCTCCCCCCTCCCCCTTCCCCTCATTCAATGTTGAACACATATTTTTGAAGCACAGAAGAATGCATTACCAATCCAACATTTATTCGGGGGAAAGGGGGATTTGAATTTACAGGGGCAACGTAAAGTAGAAAATTGCCTCCTAGTTTTTTACTCTCGACGTAACCACACTCTCGTGGCTGCCCCCTTACCCCCACAAACTTAAGCAATTTTCTTTATTTTGCTTTTGTTTTTGTCCTTTGTTTCATTGGTGCTTCGCCCCCTGCTCTCCAGTTGTTCCGGCGTCCCTGCCAAGGGTCATCCCCCTTGGAATGGGAAAGAATTTGCACAGCCTGTTTTCTTCCTGGTTGTAAATATATGAACCAAGCCAGAACAACAGTAATCCAATATAAAAACTCTAATGGTATTATACCTCGTTCAGTTTGCATGACTTGTTTTGCCAATTCAGTAAAAATTGCACGGTTCCTTTCCGGTTTTATGGTAAAGGATTCTAATAAGAGATTTTTATGACGTCACGTGGTGGTATTCTCTTTGCAAAATTACGAGTCATCGTGAATCGGCTAAAATGTTAGGAATTCTAGAACATTTGCTTCTCAGAACATATGTAATGCTTATTCTAGAACCGTTGCAATATTTATTCTTGCGAATTACGCAATGCTTAGAAATCCTGAACATTTTCTTAAACCATCTAGAATATTCTTTGCGAACGATCCCAAAAGCCAGGGCTGAAATTTTAGTAGAGAGTTTTTAGTTGGTTGGTGTAGATGTTTCACTAGATATCTAAACTACTGTGAAATTTTTCGTTTCTACGTCGTTTTCTCTGGGTCAGGTATACCATCGTTGAGCTTTTGGACACAAGCAAGGGTCTAAGCCGATACTACATACCTCAAAGCCCTCGAGAATTATTTTGGTGTTACGGGAACCCAGGGCCAGTTCCCCGCAAAAGCGACAATACATACCAAGCGGGTAGCTTATTTGGGAACCCCCCCCCATTCACCCCTATTATCACATTCAAACTGCCGTAACTGGTTTTCCCTGATATCAAAACACGGTACTCGTACTTATTGTATCCATGGCATTGACGCAAATTTATTGTTCAATCGTTTCCCACACGCCAAGAATTTCATTTGTCTGGGCGATTCTAAGTATTTGCAGTGGCATGGTTGCATCACATTGCAGAGGTTAAAAACAGGCCTAAGTTCAAACAACAGGGCAATATATAAACCTAAGGCAATTTCAAACCATTCCAGCAGCACCACTTCGAAAATCACAGTTAAAGAGCAGCTTAACTTGGTTTATCATTGGTAAGAGATGAAACTTTCTAGGTTTAATTTATCTCGTTTAATTTTTCTCTGGTTTTTAAGCCTGTTATGTTTTCAAACTGCAAAGGTTGCAGATTAGATCAAGTCTGTGGGGAAATTTAGTGCAGTGTCAAAATGTGAGAGCAGTTGACGTATTGAAAATAAGGATGATTATGCAGGGATGAAAAGGAAATTAAAACTCGGGGGAAAGAGGGGAATTGGGGGGGTACTGGTTAAAGAGTTTATTAGAAATTTCGACAAGGTAGGAAACTGTCTGAACTTTACCCACATGTCTAGAACCCCATCTTCCAAAAGTGAATTATGATTCCAAATTACACTTGGACAAATTTTTTTGTTGACGATTATGATCGCGTTTGAAGGGACTCAACTCCAGTACAAGTTGAAATGTGGTAGGACAGGGATAAAATTTACGAAGTTCAACATTTTCACCAAATGAATTGAATCAGAGCTCATTTCTTTTGCAAAACTTTGCCCCTTTCGTTTGAGGCAATGATCGAATTTCTGGCGTTAATTTAAAAAATCCGATAAACCTTCCTGGTCAACACTTGGGGTCATTCCCTTCCAAGCTGTCATCCCCATGAAGCTTCCTGCCCTGTAAGATTCATGGTCTAATATTATAGCGTTATTTTATTAAACGATCTGGTTTTGCAATTATGTGGGTGTTGCTATCCTAATGTGAGAACGTCTTTGTGAAATGGCAGGTCGAAATGAGTCATTAAGTTTAATGGCTTCCTTTTTTTGGCCATTTCCTCCAACGGAGAATCTTGAAAAATAATAGGCCCGATAGGAGCGAACCGTTTCAGGCCATGGCGACTACAGTTCTCTGTAAGTTTTCATTATTTAAACTCTGTTGTTTTGAAATGAAGAGATTCTCTGAATATTATGTTAATGGTGTGATTGCATGGGAGTCTTTAATTGTAATTGTTTTCCTTGGAATTCTCATGATCGCATTCGAGAACAGGCTTGGTGGCTGTTTAGTACAGAAAATGCTTTAGCATGTCTTGTAATAAATTTAGGCCAATAATTTGGACAGCGATAATAAAATAAACGTAAGTCAATACAGGGGAGGGGTCTTTCTGAGCGAGTAGCATCGCTACCTGAAAACCTCGTACGCATTTGACAAAAACGTTCCTCTTTCGCAGAAAGATCACAACGAAATCTCACGGATGCGATTGTACAGAAAACCTCGGTTAACTGTTTGATCTCTGTGATGTGATGTAACACGAAGTAAGCAAGCAATAAATACTAGGACCAACGGAGCGATGCAATAGCGCAGCCGCGGGGGTGCACGGGGCATCGCCAAAGGGGGGTACGACACCCCCCCAACATTTTGTCCATTGGCACATTAAGGATTTTTCCGGGCAAAAGAAACAATTTTTGTACTCACCCTTTAATCTTTTTGCAACAATTGAAACATATTAACATTTCTGTAGTACCTGAACTTTCAAATTATGAACTTTGAAACAGTAACGCATAAAAGCAGCATATAAGAGTATTTATATTTTGACTACACCCTTGAAGAGCGAAAGACGGCCTTTTTGTCGGCAAAAAGCACTCCTTTACCCTCCAAAATTTTTGGCGTCGCCCCTGCCGGAGTGTACACGTCCCCCCCCCCCAGTTCCCGGGATGGTTGGAATGGAGACAAATGTAGCTGTAACATACTGACCTCTTGTTATATATTCTGTATGCGAAACAAGACTTGGACAAACCCTTAACTGCTCTCCTTTTTAAGATACTATGAACTCCTATGATTTTATTTATACGTTTAGACAGCAAATTAGTTGAATTGTCACCAGGCTAGCCGGTAGTAACTACCTGTAAAGTGAGGTTACTGTTGTAAGTAGAAAAATATAAAATAAAAAATATTTTCATTATTATTATTATTATTATTATTATTATTATTATTATTATTATTCATTATTATATTATTATTTATTATTATTATTATTACGATTGTAATAGTTTTATTTTGTAAACACAGGCTAGCCAGTTACAAATTACCTTGTAATAGTGAGATTTGTATTTGTAGTTTTAACTGGAATTCAAAATGAAAAGTTTCCATTATTATTATCATTATTATTATTATTCTTATTATTATCATTATTATTTCTTTTTTGCATCAAGCTCACTTTTTATACCATAAAAACAAAATTTTACCAAAGAGCTGTTGCTACGCCAGTTATGATCCTGGCAACCATTTCTTTTGGAGACGGTCCAACAATACTTGCATTATTGACGTCATTGTTATTAATTTACGTCATTGTTGACAAACTTGAAATGAGTCCCCCCCCCCTTCCCTTCCCCGACTTGAAGAGCCTCAAGTCACCCTGACTAAAACCACTTCCCCCTAACTTCTTCTTAAAACATTTGATACCACCAAAATGGTGTTTTTGTTGTTACTGTAGTCAGCTCAGCCGCCCGTAGAACGATGATGTCATCTTTGTTTTGCTAATAGCAATGAGATCCGTGAGAGTAAAGTCAGTATTCTTAATTCACACGCCCAGTGTTCCGATCAGTGGTCATGTTGCCATGGCATTCAATATATAATTTTCTCGTTTCCACGCCAGATTAACACGGATAACCACTACAGGGGCGTTACCTGAGACAGACCCAGAACCACAAAATTATTTGGGAAACGATGAAACTTAAGACGACAACTGGAAGAAACATACTTTGATCGCTTTTAACACATCGCTTCTCACGACAAACGTGAAATGGAGAGGAATTTTCACGAACGAGCTAGATAAAAGAGATTGACAAGGCTCTCTACAATTACCGAGTTAGCCTGTGCTTTAGGCCTTCCTTAAGGTTGGTTAGAGAGAAAAAGGGGCTGGAGAGAGAGGGGGCTGGAGATGGAAAGGGTGCTGGAGAGAGAAAAGGGGCTGGAGAGAGAAAATGGGCTGGAGAGAGAAAAGGGGCTGGAGAGAGAAAAGGGGCTGGAGAGAGAAAGGGACTGGAGAGAGAAAGGGACTGGAGAGAGAAAGGGGCTGGAGAGAGAAAAGGGGCTGGAGAGAGAAAAGGGGCTGGATATAGAAAAGGGGCTAGAGAGGGCTGGAAAGGGAACCCTTACCAAAGTTTTCGCATCTTGATGTTCATAGATATGTTTGCTTATGCCTTAAACGGTCCTTGTTAGCAATCGCCTGTAATTTCTCCGTGATGTCAATCATAACAAGGATTAGAATGGTTAAAGAGTAGATCTATAGAACAGGAAAACTTGATTCAAAAAGTAAATCTCGAACAATGAGATCAGATTCGAAACTGATATGCAAAACCGATTTTCATGTACTTTCGTTACTTAAGTCTTTTCATTTCCCTGTTCTAGGCCACAGTGGAATTGATGCAGGATTAATTCTGCAGGATTCGCACCGTCTCGGAAATTGCCGCCAGATGCCTCCGTCACATCTACAACACACGCCCCCCAGCTCACGAACGCCCAGCCCAAAGCCGGCGCCATTCAGTGATACAGTGTTCCAGGTAGAATGTTCATGATTATTATCATTATATTATAGCCACTGCTTTTCTTTTCTTTTGTTTTCGTTATAATATTATGTTTGCTGTAAATGTTTACTGTAAGTCCACGAATAAGCCCTCACTTTCAAATATGTCCCCCTCTCTAATAACTCCCTAGCCAGCCTCAAAATTTAAGCTTTATGAGCATTTAAATAATTACTACCAAAAGTACGAATTTGTCGTGGTAATTCAATAAAACGCCATAGGCAACCTCAGATGGCAAAAACCGTCAAATTGAGGGGTCCAATTCGAGAATATACGATAGCAATGGGGACTTATTCGAGAGGGGGGGCTTATTGAAAGTTTGTAGTTTTAGAGTGGAGGCTTATTCGAGGGGAAGGCTTTTTCGAGGGGGGGGGCACTTCGAGGATTTACGGTAAGTTCCCCTCTCGAATAACCCCCTAGCCAGCCTCAAATTTAAGCTTTATGAGCATTTAATTAATTACTACCAAAAGTACGAATTTGTCGTGGTAATTCAATAAAACGCCATAGGCAACCTCAGATGGCAAAAACCGTCAAATTGAGGGGTCCAATTCGAGAATATACGATAGCAATGGGGACTTATTCGAGAGGGGGGGCTTATTGAAAGTTTGTAGTTTTAGAGTGGAGGCTTATTCGAGGGGAAGGCTTTTTCGAGGGGGGGGGCACTTCGAGGATTTACGGTAAGTTCCCCTCTCGAATAACCCCCTAGCCAGCCTCAAATTTAAGCTTTATGAGCATTTAATTAATTACTACCAAAAGTACGAATTTGTCGTGGTAATTCAATAAAACGCCATAGGCAACCTCAGATGGCAAAAACCGTCAAATTGAGGGGTCCAATTCGAGAATATACGATAGCAATGGGGACTTATTCGAGAGGGGGGGCTTATTGAAAGTTTGTAGTTTTAGAGTGGAGGCTTATTCGAGGGGAAGGCTTTTTCGAGGGGGGGGGCACTTCGAGGATTTACGGTAAGTTCCCCTCTCGAATAACCCCCTAGCCAGCCTCAAATTTAAGCTTTATGAGCATTTAATTAATTACTACCAAAAGTACGAATTTGTCGTGGTAATTCAATAAAACGCCATAGGCAACCTCAGATGGCAAAAACCGTCAAATTGAGGGGTCCAATTCGAGAATATACGATAGCAATGGGGACTTATTCGAGAGGGGGGGCTTATTGAAAGTTTGTAGTTTTAGAGTGGAGGCTTATTCGAGGGGAAGGCTTTTTCGAGGGGGGGGGCACTTCGAGGATTTACAGTAAGTTCCCCTCTTGAATAGCCCCCCAAAGCAACCTCAAAATTTATCCTGATAATATTTTTGGTTTCTGCTAAATACGACCCGATCTTCGAAGAAGCCCCCCTCGAGTAAGCCCACACCCCTTGAGGGTTTCAATAGGCGACTATACTAATAATTCAAAAGGGCCGGGTTTAATCGGGGTGTCATACTACTCTACCAGCAGGGTTGCCATTTGGCCATTTTGACGGCTATATTCTCCTCTGGCCGTTTTCCAAAGCTGTTGGCCGTCCAAAATTGATTTGGCCGAAAAAGTAAAAGTTGGCTGAATTTCGACCGCATGTTGAAAGCATCTCAAAATATTCAACATTTTGTTAAAACAATCTCAAAATTGCAAATAACGAAGCAAGAAAGAAAGTAAAAGATAACAGAAAATTGAAATTGAAAGCAAGTTGGAGCTTTTGTGACAAACAAAGCCAATTTTGATTACACTATTATTCTAAAGACTTAGTCAAATGTAGCTTTCTCTATATTTTGTTTGGCTGGCCGAATTTGGCCGTCACGCGTAAAATATTTGGCCACCAACCATTCCAAGCATTCTGGCTACCCTGTCTACCAGAATGAATTGGATCTATTTACTTATTTTCATTAATGTTGATTACAATAACATCTGCTGTATTTCCCATTAGTTCGATATGGGCCTACAGGCATACAACCACTTCAACCCAATAACACCGCCTCCCAGTGCCGGATATGCTGCAAGTGACTCATACTCCTCCTCAGTGTCAAGTAGCCGCAGCAGCATGCGAGCCTCACCTGTCACCCCTCCATCAGACATGGTTGCCAGTTTGCTACAAGATCCGAAATGGAGTCCCACTGGACAGCTTTGTGCTCCTCAGCACAGCAAAATGGACAGGGACAAGAAATCAGCAATGAGAATGGAAGCAGGTAATTGTAACCCCCTTCTTGCTTTCCATGAATCTTTTCTTAGCTAATAAAGCCGTTCCTTTCCCGGAGGCTTCAAGCATCCTTGGTGCGAGGATGGCTCAGTTGTTAGAGGCGCTGACTACAGACCCAAGGGTCTGTGGTTCGAGTCCCTGGCATGACCAAACTTTCACCCAGAGTGGGGAGAGTCACCAGCTCTCTGTAATTCCAGGCGTAGGAATCACGAGGTGTGGTCACATCGAGAGGAAGGACCATGATACTGCTCGATAAGCATAGCTTCTCAGTGTCCTAAAAACTACCTTCGGATGCTAGGTAGCAACAAAATACAAAATACAAATACAAAAGTAATAAGATTATGGGTTGAGGGTCAGACGTTTAGCCAAAACACTGAAGGCACCATTTTTTTATGGACACATTTAAGCCTGAAAAGTCGCAGGGGTTTTGTTGCACAGGGCAATGTTTCTTGGACCGTATTTTGGCACTCAGAGACATCCATGAAAAAGTTTTTGGTAAGCTTTAAGATAGGAGCCTTATGAAGAAACTTTGACCTTTTTAGCGATTCCTCTATGCACCTTTAAGAACAGTGGGAATCTTACAAAATAATACAATGAATTATAGAAAAATTTTCTACAATGTAACACAATATTATTAAATACATTGCGATATATTACAATATAAAGCTATGCAATGCAATATAGTATTTTTCGCTCCTCCAGCAGCATCAACAGAGCCTTCTCTTACCTGGAGTGGCCAGCTTCCGCCACGTGCTTACAAGAATCCTACTTACTCTGCTAAAGTCTTTCTTGGTGGAGTTCCGTGGGATATCACAGAGGGTAAGACATTAAAAGCCTATTTACTTTAACACTTCTGTGTATCGAATTGTCCCTCTTTTCGCATCCAGGGTAATGACCTGTATCAACATCATAATATAGTTCTTAAGTGATTACGTCATAAAGATCTATTTTTAGAATTTTTGAATTTTTTTCCCATAACCTGAAAGAGCATCATGAAATACCTCTAAATCTGCAAAATCAATTAAAGGTATTACGAATTGGCTGAGATATGGCCACATGAGCACAAGCTCTGGCCCCATCAAACCTCTGTAATTTGGTCTCAGTTCATAACTTTATTAGCCAGGCCAGAATAACAGTAATCCGTTAGCAAACTTGAAATCTTCTATTGGCCATATCTCGCCCGATTTGGACACATCTAATTGACTTTACATGTTAAGGAGTATTGCATGGTTTTCTTCTATGTTATACATAGCAAGAGCAAATATTCTAAACATAGTTGTTTGCAACGTCACACTTACCAACTCTATAAGGGATTATTTTATTTGCTGCCTCTAATCATCATTGTCATAAACGATCATCAGTGTTATCACCCAACATTCTTATCTTTCACTTCAATGTAATCAATATCATCAGAAAAGATCAATAACATCTTCGATCGATCGATGATCATTGTCATGATCATCAACCATAATCATCACCTTGATCGTTATCAACGACCTTGGTCAGTACCAATCATCACCATTTAGCATCATTCAGCCTTATCGATCAACCAATCACTTTAAATAATAATCAATTAATCAATCAATCACTTCCTAAAGTAATCAACAAATCAATCAATCACTTCAGCCAATAAATCAACTAATCAACTATTCACTTTCAATGATCATTATCAATCAACCAATCAATCAATTTCTCAAGCCAATCAATCAACCAATCAACGAGCCACTTTCAATCATCATCATCATCGATCAGCCAATCAATCAACAAATCACTTCAGCTAATCAACCAATCAACTAGTCACTCATCATCAATCAATCAATCATGACCAATCACTAGTGACCATAAACAAAGTTGAAAAGCTTTAATCATCATATTATTCATTTAGAATTATCTTTGTTTCAGCCGGTCTGCAGCAAGCGTTCCGGCGCTTTGGACCTGTCAAGGTAGAATGGCCAGGCAAAGAGGGCAAGCAAAATCGCCATCCGCCGAAAGGTAAATATCAACTTCAGAACGCCTTTTCTCATTTATACTACTTACTACAGTTTGACAATTATTAGGGGGGGCTCCAGCCCCCCCCCCCCCCGGTTCCGACGGGCCTGTATAGAGGTGGTGACCCCCATCTAATATGTCACGAGTTAATCTATAAAACTCTGGTAGGTCAACACAATCTTTTTTGTCAGTAAAATCGTCTATCGGTAGGTGAAATACCACCTAGACTTTTGTTATTTAATGTCTCTCTCGGTAAATTTTAATACTGGCGACTCTCCTTCTCCCTATCCTGGATGGCCCAGCTACGTCACTGTTTGTAATAGATTTTCATTAAAAAATAAGACACCATTGTCTCCGTAACAGTATTTTGAAGGTGGGTCCGTGAAAGGAGGATAATCCTTGGCGAAGTTAAAAGCTAAGTTTTATCACCACACAACTATTTTGTAAATTAATATGCTTAAGAGCAGGCGTGGTTAGCCAGAAGTGTTCTATCTGACATCAGAAAGCATGTTAGATGATTATCTAGCAGACATATGGGCTGAAAGTTGCTGTATAAACCAGATATCATATCTGAGTCTAGGGTTGGGTTTGGCAGCTTTGTATCGTGGAGGCGGGCAGAGGGGAAGACATTGGGGAGGCCTATATTAATTTTATCCTATGTAACTCTTTATTTTAAGACGAGCCTTAGAATGGCCAAATAATACGAAGCCGTAATACTGATTAACCTCAACCTTGAGAAGCTTCTTAAAAATCTTCGTAAGTTAGAAGAGTGAGAATTGGACACAGTCTCTATTGCTCCGCAACTGCTAGGAATGGGGGCGTCATATTTAAAGTAAAAACCCAATCTCTCCAAAGCTCACTATGCCCTTGTTGTATCATGAGTTATTAAGCTGCGCTCTTTCGATACAAAACCGACTCGACCTTAGCGGAGGCGCGTCATCAGCCTCGTTTCCATTCTGCATTTTTTCCAGCCTCTTTTCAAGTAAACTTTTTTGATGTTTCTTTAAGGTTGTTGTTTAATGTATTTTAAGTCTGTATAATCTTATTACATATTCTATGTAAATCTATATTATATATATTGTTATATATATTACTAATTATCGCTTTCAGTTTTGACTTCCTCCCCTCCTAAAGGCTACGTCTATCTGCTGTTTGAAAGCGAGAAGTCTGTCAAGGCGTTGCTAAGCGACTGTACCCATGACTACAGTAATGGCGGAGATTGGTATTACAAGATCTCAAGCCGAAGAATGCGCTGTAAGGAGGTATGTTCCTCTGTCTCTTGCTTTTTATAATTTTTACAAATGCATTCTTTTTATAATGTGGTTATATTCAATTAGATAATGACATACTGAGCGATATTTCAAAATATAATATTTTTTCCTCTGGTGGTGTATCATTTACTGTTTATTCGTGTGATATTTTATTGTGTAATATTTCATTTTGTGATTTTTATAGTTTGATATTTCATTGTGTATTATTTCATCTTCTGCTCGTTATCGTTTGATGTTTCATCGTGTGATAGTTTTCCTCTATTTCTAAAGATTTGGTATTTCATTGTGTAATATTTTGTCTTCTGATATTTTACCATTTGATATTTCATCGTGTAATATTTTGTTTTCTGATGTGTTATCATTTGATATTTTGTTGTGTGATATTTTGTCTTCTGCTTGTTATGTTTTGATGTTTCATCATGTAATATTTTCCCTCTATGTCCAAACATTTGGTATTTCATCATGTAATATTTTCTCTTCTGATATTTTACCATTTGGTATTTCATTGTATAATAATTTGTCTTCTGATATTTTACCATTTAATATTTCATCATGTGATATATTGTCTTCTGATGTGTTATCATCTGATATTTCGTCGTTTGATATTTTATCATTTGATTTTTTAGTCATTTGATGTGTTTGTTCTTCTTCTGATGTTATATTGCTTGATATTTTGCGTTCTAAGGTTTTTTCGTGTGATATTGTTTTGTTGTGATAACAGGGTTTAATTTTATCAATTGATATTTTATCATATGAAAATATATCATTTGATATTTCATCATATTACAGGTTCAAGTCATTCCATGGGTATTATCAGACAGCAACTGCTCAAGAAATGTCACTCAGAAGTTGGATTCAAGCCAAACTGTGTTTGTTGGTGGTTTGCACGGCATGATAAATGCAGGTAACTTGAATTACAATCGTAGTAACACTGTGTTACTATCGTAAACTACGGTAATAAATCAACGAGTAACCATATTCATTGCAAAAGATACCGTATTAAACACTGTTAAGAACTGTAAACCTGTTCCTTTCCTGAAACAATAATTCATGTAACTTGAATTACAACCGTAGTAACACTGTGTTACTATCGTAAACTACAGTAATAAATCAGCGAGTAACCATATTCATTGCAAAAGATACCGTATTAAACAATAGATTCTGTTCCTAATCTGAAACAATAATTCAGGTAACTTGAATTACAACCGTAGTAACACTGTCTTACGATCGTAAACTACAGTAATATATCAACGAGTAACCATATTCATTGCAAAAGATGTCATATTAAACACTAGATTATGTTAAGAATTGCAAATCTTCAAATGCGTATGTTCAGCTTTACTTAAGTTGCATGTCTCTAAAATCACAGATATATTGCTGGAAAGATCTCTGCTCAATAACACATGTAAACAAATTGATTCCAGTCTGTAACTAGATTCAGCAAAGTCTTGCACAAGATTCAAGTTGATCTGTAACCAGGTTCAAGTAAACTTGTAACCAGATTCATTGAATCCTGTTGGAAGAAGATTCAATGTACCCTGCATCAGGATACAACCCAATCTTAAACAAGATTCAATACAATATGTAATATAGGTCAAATCTACAACTAGATTCTTGGCAATCTAAGACCAGATTCCACAGATTAACGCTGGATTTGATTATCTCATAGAGGCACTTGCCATAATAATGAATGACCTCTTTGATGGAGTGGTGTATGCTGGGATTGATACTGACAAGCACAAATACCCAATCGGTACGTTTTTCCAATTTTCAATCCAATTCTTTGACTGTAACGAAAGCTAGAAAATTCCATAAAGTACTTTTTGGTAATTAAAGTTTGCCAGAGTTGATCATGTCTTCCACCAAGGTTATTTGTTTTTACAGCAGTTGCTTTTCATGTCATGCTGGCTTGACGCAGGATCACAAACTTAAGAGTATTCTAATAACCTAAAGCAATATTATAAACAACTTTCAAAGGACTGCAAAGTAATAATATGTTTGCTTGATAAGATTATCAACTTTGCTTCATTTTAAAAACCAAACCTTTGATATTTGCAGAGAAGAGATCAGCAAAAAATTTCCATAATTATTCATTGTAGAATGCTCTTCTTTCTCTCGTAACATTCTCTTTCAACGTTTCTTCGTTGCTTTCTTCCTTTTTTAATCTCTTTACTTTCTTCGGTTAATTTATTTCGTAACTTTCTCTCGCAACTTTCTCCCGTAAATTTCTCTCGTAACTTTCTCTTGCAACTTTCTCTCGCAACTTTCCCTCGTAACTATTTCGCGAAGCTTTCTCTCATAGCTTTCTCTCGTAGCTTTCTCTCGTAGCTTTCTCTCGTAGTTTTTTCTCGTAACTATTTCGCGAAGCTTTCTCTCGTAACTTTCTTTCGTAACTTTCTCTTGCAACTTTCTCTCGCAACTTTCCCTCGCAACTTTACCTCGTAACTATTTCGTGAAGCTTTCTCTCGTAGCTTTTTCTCGTAACTTTCCCTCGTACCTTTTTCTCATAACTTTCTCTCGTAATTTTCTCTCGTAACACCAAGTTTGTCAATCGCAGGTTCAGGCCGGGTAACATTCAACAACAGAAGGAGTTACATGAGTGCTGTGCATGCTGCCTTTATCGAGATTAAGACGCCAAAGTTCACAAAGAAGGTAGCTAAATGTAGATTAAATTTTGATATTAATACTGACAAAATCAATATTATTGTATCGCTCAATATTTAATTTCACCGTATTTTGCAATCTTCACCGTTGCTCCGCCATTGTTGCCAGCAAGATATTTGACCTTTTGATATTTGATAGTTTATAATAGTTAATAGAATGATATTTTACATGTAAGGTCAGTTGAGGTCAAGAGTGAAAGTCAAATTTCGGGGCTCAAGCTTTGCAAATATTTATTATCAAGTTTTAAATATCATTATATGGCTGTGTACGGTAATGTATGATAAGCCCAGATACGAAACAATGGTCAAGGGTCAACGAGCAAAGATGGGAAAAGCTTTATTTTCTCTGGTGACCCCAGTAAACCTTAAAAAGTCATTAAAAGACGAAGATGTGCTTTCTTCGTTGTTTTTTCAATCATCTATTTTCATTGTGAAAACTGTTATTTGATCTTGTTCTTGTCTGAGAGACATGGAAAAACGGTCTCTAGATGTTTGTGTTCTCTACAACTTAGCAGAAAATTTGAAACGTTTCTCGTAAACACTCGATAATTTTTTAATGCTTTAGTAATTCTCTATTTATTGCCTAGTATATATCAAGAATATATTCCGTATTTTAGGTTCAAATTGATCCGTATTTGGAAGATTCCATGTGCAGTACATGCCATATTCATCCTGGTCCATTTTTCTGCCGTGATCCGGAATGTTTCCGGTACTTTTGCCGGTCTTGTTGGGGATGGCATCACTCTATTGCCAGCCTCAGAATGCATCGACCGATGACGAGACACAGCAAGAATTCTACTCCAACATATTAAGGTATTTAGGCTTTTTTGCTTCATTCTTTAACAGTACTATCATTTAGCCGTCTTTGTTCATATTTTTTACCTTTGGTCTCTATGTTGTGAAGACTGACCTTTGACCGTGATACGCTTTGGTGTAAGAGGCACTACAAGTGTTGTCTTTAGACTTAAAAGCAGTTCGTGCCTAAGCATTTATACTCTCTGTTAATTTGTATCTGTGTTCAGTAAAATTATAGATATATATTTGTATTATAAACCAAATATATAATAAATTATAAATATAATTAAATATTTGATACATATGTATAATTTCTCTTTCTTGTCTAACACATAAGATGGAAACGAACATTTGAGACAAATATTTTATTATCAAGGAGGTCATTTAGGTCCGAATCGATGCAAGGCTATGGTTGAATCAGAGGGCAGACATCTCGTCCCAGATTTTAATTTTCATTGCTTACGAGATCCCAAATGGTTTTAGAGAGCTCTTTGTTTATCTCACATTCCTCTTAGTTTGAAACCTAGTAATAAAATTCCTTATCAGCAGGGAGAATTTTTGATATCAGCAACAGTTAATACTGGTGCGAGGATAGCCCAGTGGATAGGGTCACGAACAACAAATCAAAGGGTCTAGTGTTAAAGTGACAACATGACCAATTCTTTACCCAAAGTGAGGGGAGCCATAAGCTCTTTGTAAATTTCAGGCGTGAGGATCATGAGGTGTAATCACATCTAGATGAGGACCAGGACACTGCTCGATGCACAAAGTTTGCTGTGTCCCGACTTTAAAAGCTTTTTTTCAATGCAAATTATTAAATATGTTTTATTGAATTCTATTCCAGCCTGTATTTTTCACCTTGTCATTCCAGGTTTTGCACATGAAGCTCAGAACCTTGGTGAATAAGTGAAAGACTCGTTGAATTGCCAAGCTAATAGAAAAGCTGGACTATAACAATGCTGATTTTGAGATCATTGAAAACATTCGTAAATTGGTGAGTTAAAGACCGCTTCATAGATCAAAGATCATTTATTTTAAAACTTCTATATGCTATGTGAGGCTTTTAGCTAAAAATTATTTTAAACAGCATATTTCAACGTCTTCAAATTATAGATGAAAAACCATTTATGTTTAATACGTATATCGAAACCGTGTAGGTCAAAGGTCATTTTTTTTAATCATACATACGCCTTGTGAATGTTGGTAGGCCAAAGTTCAAAGGTCATTATTTCCTTTGCTGTTATTTGGAATGATAGGAGCAAAAGGCATGATGGGAGGACCTCACTTTTTGGCAGTTGAAGCCAATAATCGACGAGCTTGTAAATGAATTAGTTTTGAGGGTTTGAATGCTCCAATGACCCTTTTAATGTTGCCTCGTATTGAATAATGAGCCTCTCTTCATTCCTCTGTGTCTATTTGCTTTTCTTAAGTAAAGGAAATGTTGCCTGAAAAAGGCTCTACCAAGTGGCGTAACGCAGATTAGGGCATCTTAATTTGACAACTAGACGGACTCAAATTCACCTCACTTTCAGAAACTTTTAAGTTCTTCGACTTTATCTTATTCAACTCTGCTGCCCCTATTTAAAGAAAAAAGCAATCATTTTTAGATCTTGCTGTTGTGTTTGACATTCACTATAGCGTTGAATAGGATTTTCCTGCAGGATTCCCGCGTTAAGAGGAGTGGAATCCCGTGTTAAGAGATGTCCCGCGTTACGCCACTGGCTCTACCCGAATTTATTGGCCTTATATTTTAATTGCAGATACAATTGCTTTTTAAGATATTAACTGAGATTTATTGTTACGAATGGAGCGCTATTTTTGAATATATTTTTATCAATTTTTTAGACAATATTAGTTGTTACCTATTTATCTTAACTGTATTTTTTTATTTCTTAATTCGCATCGATTTACCCCCGTGTAGTTTGTAAATAGAATATTTAATTTTACCGTGAATTTGTTTATTGCTGGAGGTGAAGTGGAATTAATTTTAATTTTGATTTGTTTAATTCTTATACTTTTATACAGTTGTTTCCAGTGACTAAGTTTAGAAATATGGTACGTCTTCAAATTTCCGGTACATCTAAGGCTAAATTTTCAGTTGATAAAAACTTAGAATTTTGATTCAAATATTTAAAAGAACGCCCTAACTGAATCTGTATCACCAAAGTAAATGATCCTGACTCATTTAAGTTTTCACTAAACTTAGAATTTTAATTCAAAGGGACGTCCTAATTGAATCTGTATCACTAAAGTAAATAATCCGACTCAAGTTTTCTAAAATTATAATTCTTTTGGCAGATAGTATCTAGAAGATACTGAATCCTAACAACTTTTTACTACAAAAAAAGAAAAAAATTCAAGGAAACTATTTTACTTTCTTTTTAATATTACAAAAATTTGTAGCAAATAAAAATGCTAAAGTTGCCATGAGAGACGCCTGTAGTTTCTGCTCCACAGTATTTTGCGGTCCTTGATCACAAATAATTACAAATTTTAGCTCTTTTAGCTATTAAGATGGCCATGTTTTTTTAAATAAATACGCTTCATTAGCAATTTTAAGCCATAATCCGCCATGCTGGCAGTTTTAAAATTTAGTTTAGAGTGGCACAAGTAATTAGAATGCTTGTTAATAGAACTCATCGCTTGTAAAATCGTAAAAATAATTGTGTATTTGGAGGTCATGTCTGATGACAAAGGTCACGGGTTAGGTTTGGCCACAAGGTCAAAGTTCGGGGTCAGAGGTCATGGTCAAAGGTCAATGATGAGTCCAAAGGTCATATTTTGATGCTTTTAACGTTAACGTCATATATTCAGTGCAGCTAGACTGCATGTAAGGTCGCTTAGCAGTCCATTATATCGTTCATGTTACTGTTTATCGTTTTATTCTTGTAATGCAATAGGCTGGTTTTAAGACGTCTAGAGGTGGGGAAACTGACACGAAAAGGCGAATACAAACCAATTTTAAAAGATAGATTTTACGTGGAATAAGGCTTTGATTAAGATATCCTCATATTTCTATTAACATACAATGGGTCAACTTTCAGTCTGCCCAGCTTGACAGCTCATTCAGATGTTTTGCTGTATGTTTACCCCCCTGCTTTGCACGTGCTGTCCCTTCGTCCGTTTTCCTTCTAGTTACCCGTAGTTATTCCATCAGAGCTAGCTACCGCAGTTGACAAAACACTGTTTTGCTTAACGTGTACCCCCTGCTTTGCAAGTGTTGCTTCTAGTTCCCAGTATAGTGTGCAAGTGTTGCCACCGGGGGTCGCTACTGCAATTGGCGATACACTTTTTGGCCCTTGATGTTTTTTACAAAGATGTTACTTTGTCGTTTACTTTGTCGCATAAAACAAATTGGCTACGTTTTTAATTTCGCTTTTAAATCGGACATAACGTTTATGTGGTCGATTAGTATTGTATTTCAAATTTATTTTTAACTGCATTGTAATATTTCAGTTAAGCTAGTTAGCCAGTCGTTTTACGGAGATTATTTCCAGCACATTGGAAATTTTCCAAGTCCCTCAGAAGCTATACCCCAAAAATTCTTTTTTATGACGTCAACCCTTGCTATCTACGCAGAGAAAGTCTGTAGAGTGACGTCATAATATTTGATTGACCTCAAAATGTTAATGACGTCATAAAGTCTGTTCTTAGAGTTCTTGGTTTTCACAAAATGGCATTAAAAAAGCACTGCCTGAAATATGGTCGAATAAGCCGAAACTCTTTTCCCACCAATGTAACTTGGCCTTGGTACTTCAATATATCCTGTCTTTTACACACCACATTTGGATTTATTTCATCGTATTTTCTCTAATTATGTGATCAAATTCGTAAAATTCTAAAAATAGATTTTATGACGTCATCACTATAACTATCGCGACCTATGGAAGATAAGGCCGACGTCCGGAGATACCTTTCGGACATATTTGGACAGACTGGCAAACTGGCATATGACATATGAGCTCTCTTTTATCGCATGTTACCTTTAAAACTACTTTAAACGTTTTTCATAGATATAGTTACCTAATATATTTTGAAGTTTTGGACATTTTCGCTCAGTAACTTAAAAGCAGGCTGAGTTTTTATTGTATGAATTTTGAGATGAATTGTTTTTGGACATTTTCGGATTGACTAAAATATCCATTCGTTTTTAGCAATTTAAATTTAGCAGAGTTAGTTTGGAGATCTTGTAGTTGTATAGTTGATACAAAAATTTGTTTCATTGCCCGCGTTTTATTCGCGTGTTTCTGCGTGATTTGTGATGAGAGGAGACGAATTCAGGAAGGAGATGATCAGATTTTTCAAAAGATGCCATTCGATTTTCGAATGTATACGTTCGATTTCTGATTCGATTTTAGAAATTTGTCTTCGATCGATCGATTTTCGAAGGTAAACGTTCCAATTTCGAGAAGTTCGTTCGATTTCGAAAGTTTGCTATCGAAATTTATTAAATGAATCAAAGTTTGAAACTTTTTAATACACAGATGAAATCGATTCGTGAAGGGAAAGGGAACGTAAAGAGAAAGGCCGGTTATAAGGCACTTTTTGTAGATTTAAATTGTTCTTAATTTGTAATACAGAAGAATTTAAAAATGTTTTAAAAACTGTCTGCTTTAAGTCTATCACAAAAACAAATGGTTCAAAAGACAGGCCGGCTGAAAAAGTTAAATTAACTAAATTCTTCGAAGCAGACTAGATACTCTCTCCTCATTAAAGTATTGCACCGCCTTCCTCAAAATGGCGGCATTTTAAGCCCCGGCCAAACGACTCAACAAAGTTGAGTAACACGTTGAGTGAAAAGTTGAGTCGCTTGGCCAACCCATACTAGGCAACGCTGAACAACACTGAACATGACTCAACATTGTTTAGCGAAATGTTGAGTGAAAAGTTTAGTCGTTTGGCCAGGGCTTTATTATCAATTTTTCAACCATATCCAACATTTAAATCCATGATTTGGGTGAAATACACTTGAGTGACAAAAGTATTAGGACGATCGGCAATTTGGTCAAAGAACAACATAGAAATTCGGTGGAACATAACGAGATTGCTGGTTGAGATTTTTAATTGCAATTTTACCAAATTGTAAAAATAAAAATATTTTCAATAAATTATAACAAATAGCCTTTTTAGACAGGTACTAGTTGCTTTATTATATTTAATATTTGTTCCAGGTGACTAAACAAAAGCCATTAGCAAATAAGGGTAGGATGGTTCTCAGAATGTTTTACCATTGTCAATCATAAGACTGAAGGTGGCGTTCTCTTAACATTTGAACCATTTAGTTTTGGGCTGTGGGTGCGCCAATCGCAAAGACGGCCATAAATAAAACCCCTACCGTTTTTGAGGGGGTTGAGAAGAAGAACAATGGCCTTCTTCCGCCGACTAGCAGCACCAGGGGCGGATCTAGACGTTCGCACCGTTCGCACATGCGACAGTTAAACTTTTAAAATTATGTTAAGAATCCGTCTCGAAAGAGGTTTTTCCTTAACAACAACATTCTCGCTTATTGGCAAATTTCCCATTTGTGTTTTAAGTATATTTGCTTGGGAATTATGCTTCAGTTATATTTGACAACTGAACACCGTGCAGGAGCAGGAAGATCCATGATCATGCATGATTCAGACCTGGCCATAAACACAAGCGAAATCTTAAATATCATCTCTAATTCAATCTCGATCTTGATTCAATCTAATTCAAATCTCAAAGCATCCTGACTAAAAAACAACAGGGTACCAATGTAGTTAGATTAGGGTATTTCAGTGCACAGTATGATTAGTAGCACGTTCGCACCGATTCGCACAGCTTTTGTTTTAAAATATTTAACCAATGAAATTGCTAGGTAGTGCGAACTTCGGTGCACAGTATGTTTTTTTAGTAAGGTCGCACCTTTGGGCAAAGATTAATCCGTCCTCATTGCTTGCTTTGTACAGTTTTGAGCTTATTTATGCCTGGCATGGGCAGGGACGAAAACAAGTTGCTAATTTTGGGGGGGCGTGGAAGTATGAAAATTCCAACTTTAAGTGATAAATTTTTCATTCGACCAGTAGATCTGTTGTACCTACCAAATTAATATTTGTAAATAGCCCGAACACCATAGTTCTATTTTCTTTATAATTACCAAATCTTTACTCAATAATTAGCCCAAAGCATAAAAGCCTAAATCTCTAAATTTTGATTAACATGAAACAAACATTAAACATACTGTAAGAAGTAAAGCAACATTTAAGCAAAACCAGTATTAGATATACTTAATGATTAGTAGTATTCTTTCAGATCAATTGATCAATTTTATCTAAAATACATTTTTTCACGATATAGAAGCACCAAGAATTTGGGCCTTTTATTTTCGTTCTTGATCGAAGAAAACTACCTTTAAACTTTTCAGAGGGCCAAATGCCTTTTCATTCTTTACAATTGAAATGATGATTTGAGAACAAACTTGTGCATATGCCTGATTCGAAAGATGAAATACTCTTCTTTGATCAAATACTTCTACTGCAGTTTTTGCAATGTGTTCTTGCTCCACAGCAGTTTTGTCATAGGAATTTATGATGAGGACTCAAGGACATTAACCCTTTCGTTATTGACAGAATTTTAGGATTTTTGCCTACTTTATCTAAAAATTCGGCAAAAATTGATTTTTCAAGATAACTGGATGATCTTTTGCCCAAGTAATCATCAATAGCTGTGTTTTATGCAAATGATCTTATTATGCCAAAATTATATTATAATTGGACATTAATTAGCATCCAATTTGCATAATTGAATATAACAGAAAAGAACTTTATTAATTAAGGTCAATTATCTTCAATAATAAAACACTTAACTACTTTTTTCTTTCAATAATGTATTTTGTCATAATCTTAGCACACTGAGTTGAAATATCAATCATTTTTCTTGAACAGTCTTTTTTTAATTAATTAATATGCAACAATGGGTCTAAAACAATTCAATTCAATTTGGCAAGTGCAATTTCGATTTCGACTATTAAGAGAAAGAAAACAAGTAAAAAACACAAAATCTTGGAGAGAAAAGATTGTAATTTTGACCAAATGTTCTTTTTTACTTTTTATGCTTTTTTATTTTTTACTTTTTTTTTGCTTTTTCTCTATCTAATCTACATGAATTTACCAAAAACAACAACTAATCTAGCGATCACGACTGTAACTTAGGAAAGCTTCCTTGTACTGCTCAAACTCTGGGGAATGGAAAAGCAAGAAGCAGTTTCTTTCTCCAATACACAAAGGGATATCACATACAACACAGCAAAATGATGAGGTTTTTGCTCTATAACTTTGATCTATGCTATGCACTGACTTCATAACTGAGCAAACTTTGCAAACTTGGTGTTTCTCAAGCTTCACCGGCAAATGCCCTTTCTCTAATCTATTCTGCCACAATTCCTTTTTACTAACTGCCTTCTTCAAAGTTGCTCATCTTTGCTTTGCACTATTTACTGCATGAGCTGTTGCCTTACAGATGAAGTCCTCTACATTACTAACTTTAGTACCTAAATCTGCAAACGATCTGACCTCTGGTTCGGCTCTAATGGCTTTCTGCTCAACAAAAGCAAGCTGAAGGGCTAAATCCTTTTTAAAATCAAGAAAAGAATAGTTGTTAGGCATTTTCTGCTCAGGGGTTGGGTTTCTAAGCTCTCTCCAAAACACATATGCATCCCAAGCACAAATATCAACAAAATGAAAGAATAATGTTTTCCAAAACTTTTTAGTCCTATATTGAACAGAATACATATGGTACATCTGATCAGACAAATCTACACCATTCATATCTTTGTTATAATCTGAAATGCATTTAGGCCTCAAAACCTTAACCTTTTTATGACTTCCATCAACCTTTGTATTCCTTGTACAATAATCATAATCATTGGCAGAATGGTAGGTGGAGAGAACAGAGACAACATTCCTATCAACCCACTGTACAAGCAACACATCATTCGGCTTTTCCCCATTTCTAATATACCTTATTGTTCCTCGATCAAGTTTCTTCCCCCAAGACTGCCTATTTTTCATTACCTCAGGAAAGGATGAGGAATTTTCCCTTACAGTACCAACAGCATTTATACCAACTAAAGTCAAATATTGGAACAATGGGACACTGCAATAAAAGTTATCAGCAAAAAGAACATACCCCCTGTTTACCAGAGGTTTTGTTAAATTAATAACAACTCTGGCAGCTAATTGGTTGATGAGATTTCCTGCATTTTCTGGATTGGGGTTTTCATTAAAAGCCTTAGCTCTACCAAGTCCTCTTTCTATCCCTTCAAAACTATTATCAACAACACTGAAATCATCCCAATCATCCTTTCTGCTTTTACCAGTATAAACCACCATATCCCAATTGTAGCCTGTAGCAGAATCAGCTAGAACCCAAAGTTTGAAACCCCATTTAGTGGGCTTATTCATTATATATTGTTTGAAGAAGAACCTACCCTTAGACTTAACCATACGTTCATCTATAGACACACATTTACCAGGAGTAAAAAGTTCCTTACAGCGACTTCGCATATGGTCATAGAAATGCCTTATTTTTCCTAATGGATCACTTTTGTCCTCTGTCTCAGGGTTTACACAATGAAGGGCAGCAAGTATTCCACAATACCTAGAAAATGTTGGAATAAACATTGACCCAAGAAGACCAGAAAAAAGCTTATCATTCTGCCAGTAGTTACGCCTAGCAGGGGCCTTAACAATACCCATATAAAATAGACAGGCAAGAAATCTCCTAAATTCCATCAAATCAATGGGTCTCCACACATGGCAACCATGGTCCTGGGACATGTAGCTTTGACCTATTCCTTGACCATACACAGCATAAATGTTTGAGTTTTCAATTATGGTTCCCATCAGATCAAAAGAAAAAAAAAGCAAGAAAAAGTCTAAGGCTCTACAAGGGGCACTGCCTCTCGCCCAAACTACTTTTGGGCCAACACTGCTTACATTTTGGGTGGAAGCCATTTCTGTTCCCTATCACCTGTGTAGCCTAGAGACTCTGCCAAACTACAATCACTATCCTGATACTCCTCTTCACTAACTTCTGACTCGTCATGGATCTCATCGACTACTACAGCTCCGTCCAGCTCATCGTCCAACTCAACTGGATGTCCTGAACCAGCCAGACTCTGCCTAAAACAAAGATATAGAAAATAAGCAAAGACAAGATGATTTATAATTTGGTAATTTCTGCAGCAGTGCAACAAATAGTAAAGAAATCTAAGTGAATCTGTTCAGAGCCACCATATACAAAATCAGCTGATTTGTTTATCACGGGCCTAAAATTTCTTGAAAACCACTCCCAAAAAAAACAAAAATTTTTGGCCGTACTTAGTTAGCCATTATTCTAAGATTTTCACTACAGCTTCAGAAATGGTTCTTCTTTATCGCTAATGTATCCAAAAGTTTGAAGGAAACAATATGTAAACTTACGATCCACTC